TTTTGTCTTTTCTAATGAATTAAGCTATTTTTTTATTTGCTTTTTAATGTCTATACGACTTATTAGATCAAAATGACTAAGAAAAATGAACATGAAATTTTTTTCTCATCTATTTTTTCCACCTAAATAATGTCTCTATGACTCTATCAAATGCTTGAAAGAACAAGATGTGACATGCCCCTCGGGGCACAGCTCAACTGGTGGATCAATCAATATTATCTTGCTTCCAGCGACAGGGTGGAGGTTCGAATCCTAGTGGGAACCTGCGGCCAGATTTATTTGGTATGAAGCAATTACTTTGGAGGAGGATCTCTTGTGCGCAGAAGTGTATAGGCTGTGGGGGGAACTTGTGATCCAGTTGAGGCATAACCCGCGATTTACCCCCTTCAAGGTTCTAGGGGCAAGGGTCTTGGGGGGTCCAGAATTTAGTCTAGTGTAAGCTGGGATACCTGGATATCAAAAAAAAAAAATAAATAAATAAAATTATACCCCGCTGGACAACGGGGTGGATTCCAGGGCCAAAATCAGGGTGCCATGTCTATAGGGGGAGCCACTATTTTTGGCCCTATAATTAACTTTGTCCAAATAGGTTAATTCGGTAAAATTTTTCACCCAGAGCTAATTTTCAAGATGAAGGAACTTGTAAAGTTGCGTTTGATTATTAATATTTTTCATGAAAAATATGTTTTTCTATTCAAATTTTTATTTTTGTACTTTTGGTTGACATTTTTTTCATAGAAAACATTTTCATACTTTTGATCACGTAATCATATTTTCCTCAAAGTTAAGAAAAATATTTTTAGAGAGATTATGATTTTATTTTCTAGGAAATCCTCTCTCTCTCTCTCTCATCTATCCATTATCTTTCATCAACCCATTAATAAAAAATGTACAAATATAATATTTTTTAAGTTAAATACTAAATCAATCAAGCACATCTAGTTAATAGTCATGCAAATTCCATACTCGCAATCAAACGTACCTTAAATTGCAAACATGAAATTTGCATAAAAATTTTAATTTTAAACAATTAAATTGTCTAAAACATATTTACTTAAAAATTGTCAATTAAATGTGTTTTATTAACTTAATTTTCAACCTAAAAAATGTACCTTCTCATAAAGTCAAATTTTTGGAATTTGTGAATTGTCTAGAAAATAAATATTTACCTCCCCATTAAAAATGTTTTCCTCGCTTTTGAGAAAAGCATGGTCATGTGACCAACTTTTGAAAAATATTTTCATTGAAAAAAAAATGACAACGTGACATTTTCATGAAAAGTAAGTCAATCAAACACACTCAAATGATCACTGGAGTCAAGGATTGAATGATAGGTGAATCCAGCAATAAATTTACAAGATCAGGGAAATTAAAGGCATGCATCACATGAACATTACCAGAGGACAGGAATGGCTTATTTCATGCTTTATTGAGAGTAAACTAATACGTAACGCCTCGTAAGTGGTTCTAGAAAACAGAAAAACATCTATAGATGGGAAAATGACAAAGCTACATTAACAGAATGAATTTATCAGCACATTTTAAGATAATATATTACAGTAGGCTAAGTACTATGGAATAACATTATTGTCACTATAGAAGGTTTCGTCCAAGTTCGGGATGGTCGATTGAAAAATCTAGCACAAGTATGCAAATATATACCATCCAGAATGTATTGTTCATAATCAATTCATACAGATGTAATCCCGGACATGAACTTCACTTGTATAAATCATATTGCAAGAAAAACAAAAGCACACAGCAAATAAGCAAGTCCTTTACTGAAATTCTCATGAACCAACGCCTAGAATAGCAAGGAAGTTTTTTTTTTTTATATTAGAAAAAACTATCTAGAGAGGAAAACAGAGGAAGTGACAAGCTGTTAGAATTTCCAATGCTGAGCTTGCAATTCAAGTAGCTGCATTTCTGCTCCTGACAAGGTATTGCGTAAGAAGCAGGCTAGTTTAACACCTTGTCATGATCAACTACTGAATTCTTGAATCCTATCTTCTTCAGCATGCAATTTGTGCTTTAACTAGAGCCAGCCCACAAGGAGCTGAGTCGAGCTGCCAGCTTTGCACTCTTGTAGTCCTCTCTGAGCTGAATAAACCTGAGTTTGCAGTGGATTCAAATATTAATCTCATAAACGAACTACAGTAGCAACCAAGGCACAAAGCCACTAATAGAAAGAACGATATTTTCAGGTGTGATTGATAAGCATATTTGACTAAGCTCATAAACAAGAAAATTTTTTTACTTTTTTTTCAATCAAGTTCTTTTATATTCGAGGAAAAAAAGTTACTTAGTTAGGAACTAATTTGCATTACTGTGATTATAAATAGCTTACCTTGTTTTAATTTTGATTAATCAAAACTTACTTATTTTAGTTTTTAATAATTGTAAGTGAACATTTTAAGCTTAGCCAAACATACTCCAAATCACAAAGCTGTTACAGTGACTGAATGCCTTGGGTCCACTCATCAATAAAAGTTCGGAACAAAGTGAACAGAAAATTCATAGGGTACTGTACTTACATGAATAAAATTTATTTTCTTAGTAAGAATCTAAAGATATTTTTTAGTTATAACATGTACAACAAAGAATCTAAAGACATTTTTTAGTATAACGTGTACAACAAGATAGCTTATGGTTATATAAAATGTGTGAGGCAAGTTTAATCTAACTTGACTGCATAAAAGATCAATAAATACATACGTTTGTGCATCTTTCCGAATACTTGGAGTTCCCTCAAAAAGAGTCGACAGGCTTTCAGGGGCCACAATGAAGACATTGGCCATGCTGGAAACGAAGGTTATGTCAGTAAATCAAAAGAAAATGTCTTGCCTAATTCTATTGCGAGAATTCTAGTGAAGGTAGGGGAGATGGAAGGCTACACATCTTCAAAAGACCACAACTTACATGCCGAGCAACTCGAATTTCTCATCAACTGAAGGAGCATTAAAACCACGAACAAATTCCCCGTATTCTGTTATATCACGTTTCAGCCGTAGTCCTCCGCTGAAGAAGTCAGATGATGCAAACATGGTTACATCTTTTGACGTAATCATACAAACTTTCCAGGTTAGTTTTAGAGATTCGTGGGGGTGTCATTGTGTTGAACCATTTACATTGTGATAACAGATCCAGTTACATCCATGTCAAGGCATCACTATGGACATACCATTAGTCTAAGTTCATCACTTCTACATGAGAATTCCAAAATTACAGACTGGCAAATTGCAACACATAGGAAGGAATTACCTTGGGTTAAAAGTGAACTTTTGCCAATGATTAAGCAGCCCCTTGTGCAAGCGATTTCCCTGCGTGATTATATGAATGGTTACTACGTGAAAAAGTAAATGCAAGTGTAATATATCATGCTCTGTCTACTTTGTCTTTGCGAGACTTATTTGGTCAAACTAGTTTACTGAAGAGTTAAATTACAAACATTCTTAGTGTGTCTAAAAATATGAATGTAGTGATTGAAAGTCGTATATAATTTCTTGCTCTCCAAATGCAATGATTAAAAAAATCTTGCAAGTCAAAACCAAAAGGTGATTCAAAAGTCTATTTGACTAATAAGACGAACATGGTACACCAAAATGAGGTAATGTGAGCAATAAAAGTTACCAGCAATAGAACTGCATAGACATTCCAATGCTCACCACTCTTTTTCAGAAAGGAACCGACAAATATATCAACGATGAGACATTAATTTGCAAAATTGATCATTTGGTCATGTATAAAGGATAAGGGTATGCATTAACACTTGCAAATCGCTGTGCATGTGCATGCGTTTGTAAATAAATTACATACTAGAAATTGTGCAGATTTTCCTCTACCAATAGGCGTATACTAGATATGGCTATTTAAACAAATGCCACCAAAACCATGATTGAAGTCAAGAAGCAAGTCGGATGTGATAGTAAATAAGTAGCAGCATGTACCCTGAAACTAAATTAGATGTGTCAATAAACAGTACAACAAACATTTGCTCGCATGATATGTTCCCAGACTGGATAAATGTATGTACCAAAATCCATAGAATCAAATCAAACTTAAAAGTTGCAAAAATGTAAATTGATGTACCAATTCAGTCAGGAAGGCTTGTTTGTTAAGACCTTCTAGAGCTGTGAAAGCAGCCTCAAGCACACGGGAAAGATAGGCCACAACTCTGACCAGAGAAAGAAATAAGTGAAATTTGAGATCATATAAAACATGCATGACATTGATTACCTTTGTTGCTTACTAGCACACTTGGCACATTACAGAAGAATGTAAATTCATACTTAAAATTGAGTACATATATAACAAATAATAACTGAATTATTGTGTTATAATTGAATATGAACTCTTACTTCCCCAGCATGTATACTGCTCTCCACGAAAATCATAAGCTTGGAAATTAAAAGTGACAAAAATGAGTGTATATTTTATATTAAATAGTTCTTGCTTGTCCTGACACAGAAAAACATGCAAAACTAAAGCATTTTTTTTTTCTTTTTTAAGTATTGACATGTAGCAATTCAGGAGAAAAAATATATTTTTTGTGATTGAAATTTGATTCATAGGTGACAGAAGGTTAACGGGCATTCACAAAATCTAAAATCAAATGTACACAGCGGCATTAGTTGTTGTGTCTTAAGTAATAATCAGTGGTCTGGGACCTATGAAATTCAAAATGACTAGTTGACAATCGATATGTGCCTTTAAATTTTGTTTGAAAAATTTAAAAGTGAATGTAATGAAACTCTAAGCGATAACTGCCATGAAGTAGTGTTCCCCTTAAGCATGGAGTCCAGTAAAAACCTTGTGCAGGCATTTGTCGGCCGATGATCAGGAGCAATACCATCATCAGGTGACCGATAATCTGTTGCTTTTTGTTCGGCTGATATCAATCGCTCCACCTAATAAGAATTTCAAGAATTAAGCACTTCAATCAACATGGAAGCAAATGCAAATGAGATAACTAAAGGACTAGAACATAGAAATTATGATAAGTTTTTTTATCCCAAACCTCAGCCATAACGGTTTCAATGCATTGTTGAAGCCCTTTGTAAGCAACGCCTTCTGCACTGGACATGGCCGATGCCATTTCTTCACAGGCAGCAGCATGAGCACCATCCAGAGGTAGCAAAAGCCGAGAAATAGAGTTTGCAAAGTACTACAATAAAAGACTTCTAATTTCAATGGAAGTTAACGGTAAACTTCTCACAGGTGTCGAAACATATAATCAACTGATACAAACAATAGTAAACACATACTTGCTGGACAATTGCCACGCTACTTCCACAACGCTGTACAGCAACCATGAAAGATCTGAAGCTGCTTTCACCAGCAGCGGCAGCAGCTTCTGCCTGCACATACCCTTAAGCTCTCATAATTTGGCCAATTTATGTTGAAAGAAAGAAGCTTATCTTGCTTCATCTTCGAATCATGATCTAAAACCTACTAAATATGTATGAAAAGGGGAAAGTAATTACAGCTGAAGCAGCTGCAGCAGCAACTCTTCGACTAACGCTAGTTCCCAGCACAAACCGTTCCCTCAGTGCTGCAGCCTCCGTCAAGCTGTCTCTAGCTCTTTCTAGCCCTTCTGTTATGTATAGACTGACCTGAAGAAGGAGACAGGATGGCGGATGCACAAAGGAGGTGATGTGGATACCCAGAGGAAAAGAAGCATCCAAAATGTGAATTGAACACGAACTAACTTACCTGGTCTAGAAGGCACGTAAAAACAGCTCTTACATTAGCTGCAAGGGTAGCAGGCTGCATGATGACAAGATAATGAGTAAAGAGCCTTTAAAGATCTAAAAAAACTCAAATTGAAACATCATGCAAGCCTTCTAAATAATTTATCAACATAAACTCAACTTTGTAAGAGAATTATGATATTTTTGGTACATATAGTCAACCATTAAAAAAATGATAAGTACGCCATCACGCCTTCTCATTTTTCTTTGGTAAATTTCGTTCGTAGTAACAATATAGCAGAATTGCATTTAACTAAAAAATGCAAGGGGCCATCTGATATAATTTACTCAGCAGAGATAAGCTTTGCTCTATGTTGCCGATCTTGATCGTCTTCGAATTTTAGGTGGCTCATGGTCTTTGAAATGGAAGGTCAACTTGTGGAATAACGATAGGGCAATCATGATAAGCTACAGTGCTATCATAAGCACATAGCAAACCCATGTTCAAGATGCAGCTAACAGGAGGCATTAATTAATTTGGAAGACTGGAAATGAATAGAGTTATAGGGCACAAAATTTGCAACGAAGGTGTGAGACAAGCTCCACGAAACAGAGGAGGTACAGCTGGATCCTGGAGGAAAATTTTGGATTGCAAGAATTTGGGAAGAGATCTTCGAACAAGCTAAAAGCTTTTCACACCCAGTTTTTCCTTGACCAAGCTTCTCCACATGGCAAAAGACACTAAAGCCCTGTTTATATTGCTCAATTATTCATGTAATAGGATCCTACAATGTACCAGTAAACAGGAAGAAGACTTGAACCCCTCCCAAACCACCACCATATAGATCTCGTTAGGTGCTTCCTTGCAAGTCAACCACCATCTTCATCACTTCATAATGTGAGGTTAAGCGCCAAACTTAGCATCATTCCAGTCAAAAGCACTAGCTAATACCCATCTCCCATCATTCAGAGCCACCCAAATCTAGTTTGATAAGGTTGATTCATATAGAATACTGAAAATTTGGACAGAATTTCATCGTGTTGGCTCAAAAAACACTTTTTGTAGAGCTTCGAATCCAAATTGGATTACTTAATTGAATCTGAGGCGACATTCACCATGGTAAAGTCACCAAAAATATTGGATTACTTTTTTTAAAGCTTTGAATCTAAGTATGAACCTCTGCCCCAAACATGAAATTAACATGAAATATAGAAAATATTGTACCTGTGACGAGAACAAAGTGCATCTAGATATTGCTTCTTCATTCCAGCGCACAAACTCTGTCACTACGGTGACAGATATCTGCTGGTGGGAAGATGCTAAGGAAGCACCTTTTGAGCGCCCGATTGTTCCAGTTGACTCATTTGACTGCTGAGTTTCAGCACGCAGTTCCTCCATCTGCATCATAGCACCAACTTGTGATTAAAAAAGAGAATTTATGAAAAACAGGTGTAGAGTTGAGCTCTATCTTGGGAGGGACAGATTAAAAAAATTAATTTACAGGTGGAGAGAGGAACAGTGAGTATCGTGCTGACCTTTGCTTTATATAGCTGCCTAAGAGACGCCTGCTCATACTCAATATATATATCTTTATGGGGAAGAAAGAGAGACTCTGTTAGGCCTGTACAACAGATAAAACAGTTGTTTTAAGATAGGGAAGTAAATACAGATTCTGCTATATATCTATACAGTATCAAAACAAAAAACAGATGTGGTTAAGCAAAACATGAAATATGCAACAAAGAATAGGATAGTATCCATGTTACCAAACGAGGATGTAAATTAACCAAGTCATATTTCCACCATTAAGCAAACTAATATAATTTATTTAAGAGGAAAGAGAGGATAAAACTAAAATTTTGAAACGAAATAATTTTAGTTTAGAGTATTGCTTGGAGAAATCAGAAAGTAAAAGTAAAAAGTTATTGAGTGAAAACAACCCCACCCCCCCCCCGGGGCCTCAACAGATTACTCGAGTCACAAATATGTAAAGAAGAATATATGTGAATCCCATCCATCCATTCTTTCTGTTCCACCTCTTCATATTCTAGTGGAAACAACTTCATGAGCTTCCTCTTTGCTTCATTTCCATCTTTTTACCCTTAAATTCCAAGTTAATAGGAACTTCATCAGAGATTTATTAAGTTTACTATTTTGCAGTGTCAGCCAAGCCGGCAAAGGCTTTACAAGTTTCCTTGTTGACAAGAGAGTCTAACTAAAATCTTCAACTTTTGAGTTAACATACAATACCACTCAAGCTTTTACAGAAGACATGAAATTTTAACACAAAGCTTTCAAGTTAGAAGCAGCAGTAGATAGACTATTCAAACTGTGGAAAGATAAGTATCCATTAATATCTTTCAGATGAACCTAAACTAGTTGCTAAAATTTCTTCCAAATTTTTCCTCTAGTTACGCTCTTTCTAGTCCTACCTCAATCTTCATACAAGTAAAACTAACTAGCACGAATAACCAGATCTCAAATAATCCAATTTTAATTCAAACCAGGGGCTCAGACCATAGTCACCCATCTTTGTTACTAGAAGTACAAGTCTTCATCCTCCTAATCCAATCAAGTTAGGAAGCTTCTCCAGCTTTTGCAATATGGTCTACTAGACGCACTCGGACCTTCCTCAGTTTTTACAAATAACCACCACAATTTGTGCATCACCTTGCAACATAGTAATCACAGAACTGTCTGATTATATATCTTCATCCTCAAAACTTATGGATTCATTGACATTTAAAAACCAAAGCTTTCCCACACATCATTTGACAATTGACAGCTATAATCCCACTCAAGATCCCACTCATCTGCTCAATGGAAGGTTTAACAAAAAAGTATAGGGAGAAAAAGCCAAGCTGGTATTGACAACACTAAGATCTGTTATAAATTAATTCCGTAAATTCAGCTATCAACTTAGCCTATTCTTAAGTCAACCAGGACACCGTATCTTTGCAGTATCAGCAAGTTAACACCATCAATCTTAGTTACACAAGAACATGCAGATAAAATGCACTCTTCTGATTGACGAGAATCAACAGATCAAAGCAGCAAAACAGCACCCTGTTTCAATCAGATTACGTAAGTTGACAAGGTGTCAGATAGCAATTCAAAAGTTCAACATTTTTACCTTCAACATCTAAGTCACCACACCCTACACCACGTAAATCTCTAGCAAGCTCTTGTGTCTTCTCATATCCCACTGCTAGCATTCTAAGATACTGAAATCTCAAGCAAACACAGAAAAGAGAGGTTACATACCTATCAATGTAGAATTCACACTACTAGACTATGTAGCCTCATCAAATTCACTCACTAAAATAAGTCCACCTTCTTCCATGGAAGGTGGATTAACTAGAGAGGGCTTCATCAACAACTTCTCAAGAAGTTTGGGAACCCTATCTTCCAGCACTCTCTGCAGGCAAAGATAGAAAACCAATAAATTTTAATACTACAAAACAATTTTACCCAGAATCACAAGCACGGAACTTCAAGAATTTCCCTCCCTCAAATGCAATAATAAATGGATAATATGGGAATACCTGGACCAATATTGACATGACATCATCTGGAGAAGGAAACACTGCCATTATTGTGGCTGCCTCTTTCCTCACAGTTTCTGCAAACAAGTTGTTAAAAATTAGATGAGTATGTTCCCACCAACTCTGATTAGATAAACGGTATTATTCAAACCTGTAATTTCCTCGTATAATGAAGAGAGACCACTTGCTACATTGCTAGGACTAGGTTGGGAACCAGGGTCACCAAGAACCAATCTAGTGTCTGCATTCATAACCTCCAAATCAAACATTGGAAGTAATCCCACATAGTGTTGCATAGCACTGGTACCCCTGTTAAACTGAGTTGAAAAACGAAAACATGAGTGGAGATAGGGATTTTTTTTTCCCGAGATATCTAATATTTCATTGTGATTTATCACAATAATCCAATAACGTGAGCAAATAATTTAAACAATATGTCGAGGAACGTACATTAAACTTAATCCTACTGAAAGAACTAAGGAAGTAAAATATATATAAGAATCCATTAGTGGAATCATACGTAACAATAAAAATAACTTCCACAGATCATAAACACCTTCTCTTAACCCCACCCAACAAAAAGAAAAGAAGAGAGAACCAAATTGTCCTATTGCCTTAATTACTAATACTAATACACAGACAGTTGGAATCTGATGTAAAGCTAGTTTCTTTTTCCTTCCTATATAGCATACCTTCAATTCCCTACGTAAATATTACATAAACTTTTGCAGTAAAGAAATGATAAATGTTTTTTAGTGACACTCCAATATCGAATAGTTCACCTGCGACAAAATTTTTGCACACTCTGCCATTGTTGACAATTCCCTTCTTTGTGATGCTGCATCAAATCTGTCCAACAATCTATTCTCCAGTTCTAGAAAGGCATGAAAAAATGAGTAATCTATCATTTGTACAAAACAATGACAAACTAAACCTTATTCCAATAATATGTCATTTATAATCGATAAAAAATTATTTTATTTTACAGTTCAAAATCATTGAAAAAAAGCAAAACAAAGTCCCTTGGTAAGCAGGAGCTCATCTTGAAAGGATATCCCTTTCAACAGCATAATATCCAAAAATTTCATTTTGGAGTCATTTATGCTGGGTACAATACATAACTTTTTAGACTTTTTAATGGAAAACTGCATCCAATGATTCATTTTGCATTCTAGAGAAAAAAAGGAAAAAGGACATTCACATTTCAAAAGCCGATAAAGATACAAGAAAAAAGGCAAAACATATGACAGAAGTGTCATGAAGTCCTGACAACATATTATTAAAAGAGCACCACGTTCAAAGTGCAGCAATTGGCTTGAAATAATGCATGCTATATAAAGCGAGCACTGTGTGTCTTTAAGCCTAAAGCAGAAAAGAAAGGAGAAAGATATGCATCTTATTCCAAGATTTTTTCCTTCCACGTGAAGAACTTTTTATTTGTGTGCATGAGATTTATTTATTATCTTGGACGGTAGGATTCAAACATGATGATCCTTCGAATATACAATAGCCTGATTAAATTAATAAAGCTCTATATCCATCCGATCATCTCTTCCTGCCATGTTGAAATCTAGAAATTTAATAATGAAATTATATATCAGAATACGATACATATATGTTTCTTCCTTCGACGTGACAAACAAATGAGCATTTTGTTTGGCAGTCAAGCAAGAACAGAGATGCTACAAAAGCTATAAATTCGCCTAAATTGCATAGTTATTGATAGGGCTGGACAAAACTCCCGAACCGAACCGACCGAACCGAACAGAACCGAACCCGACGGTTCTTCTCAAATTAAATACTCGAATGGGTATTTGAATCAAGAACCGACGGGTATGGTTCGATTTTCAGTTCTAGGCCAAGACCCGAAGAACCGAATAAGAACCGAATCTCCATAATTTTTTTAATTAATTTATTTTAAATAAGAAAAATAATTTTATTTTTTCTAAATAAATTTGTTAACTAGATAATTTAGTTCAAACCACAAAATATGATTTTCCTATTTCTAATATTTAGTTCAAATTGACCTCAATTTTATCCAAATCTGTTATTCTACTGTAGTGTCGTTTTTACGGGAGAAAATCGAATTAAAGCTCTACAACATCTCTCTTAATTATTTTGAGCTCGCTATCTTTCTCTTTCTGTGATTTTAATAATCAAGTTTATGAAGAATTCAGTAAAGAGAGACGCGAAACACATATGATTGAACTACGTTATTTTGTAAGAGCTAATATTAAATATATCATTAATTAAATTAACGTAACTTTGTATATATTAAAAAATTTAATTATAATACGGAACCAAATGGAACCGAACCGAATGGAACCGAACCCGAACGGTTCCGTAATTAAATTTGGACCCGACGGTTCAACTTATTAAATACCCGAAAATTTTGGGTCGGTTCGGTTCTCGTCAGAACCGAGCCGAACCGGACCATGTCCAGCCCTAGTTATTGACATCATCTCAATTTTAGTGGTTTGATAAATTGGTTTTCTCAATTACTCTGCTGGAAACTGATGTTTTATGCTAGGATGACTTAAGTTTTTACATATATGGTCCTACATAATTTATACTTGATATCTAACACTACTTTACTCAGAAAAAGTGGGAGCAGGCATTGGAATTCAAACTGAAGCCTCAGTTGCTTTGGCTATTCCTTGCATTGTGCTCATCCAGCGACCATGCCCCAAAAAGATAGGAATTTTTTTATCCATAATCGAATTTGATTAAACTCGAAGAAAATGAATAGGAAAAAATCAGTTTAACTTAAAAGTGCATATTTAAAAATTAGGATGATGGGATATCTGAAACAATACTTTTTGCTCGTTATTGCACTGTCTCACAAACTAAATATTTGGTGATGGATATTATTAATTGATTTTTCTTACATATTTCATTCATATTTAGGATATGTATGTTCAATGAGGGCAATCATACATTTCTATTCACTCATTTTCTTTTTGACAAGTAGAGTGTGTGCCCAAACTATATGACTCGTACTTCTTACATATATCGAATACTATACATGACATGATATTAACTATAAAAGAGGAGACTATACAACTCCACAGACATTTGAACAAAGTGCAAGTTCCATTCAGGTAGAAATTACAATGACAATTTCTGGCCTGCAGAACATTACTCGACTATAGTTTAAATTGACAGTGATTTGTTTTCCAACTGAATCTATTTGATTGTACGAATTTGATCGAGCAATTCTCTTTTGGGAAAGAGAAGTGTTCAGTTTGCTCCTTATGCAATATGACCACTATACTTCCTTGAGAGTAGTCCAAAAATTTGTCAGCTCTTGAGGTTCCAACTAGTACTATCAACAGCATAAAAATAAGCAAACATACCGTTGCAATATTCTTGGAGGTTCGCAACAGCAACTTCCAATCCTCTGCTTGCAGTTGCATTCCCAACAACTGATGAGACAGTCATGCTTTGTCTTCCAATATCTTCCTCAGCAAATGATCCTAAAATCAAGCTTATTAGCAAAAGATTTTTAGCTATTCAAAAAGCAAGGAAAGAGCTAAACTTTCACCACTTCTCATCTTAGAATTTGGTCAAAATCCAGGTTCATGATCCTCCATCCCCACAACTTATTAACGATAAAAATTTCTTTATCACCGTAATTCAAATGGATTATTTCACTTTCAACTTCAAGGATCAAGTCATTACTAATTGTACTGCGAAACCAAGAGTTATATATTCTGAACAGATAGAAGCCAGGATATAATTGACAAGTTTCTCCTGATAGATCTTCTTGGGGCAATGGTTGACAACATGTTCAAATATGTCAGTCATTTAAGTTTGGAAAAAAAAATGTTCATATATGTACATCAGCTCAATATGACATGTCAATCATTTTGGACAGCATTTAACACCACGACATAGTTCAAAATTACTAGAAGATCCCAAGGGAATTAAGAAATGTTTTACATCTTTAACCATATGGGAAAAAAAGTGAGGGTAATTCTAAAATTAAAATTTTTCCAATGAATTGCATTGATTTCCAATTTCAATTACTGAACAATCCAAGTTTTGAAACCTTTCTTATCAAAAATGTTTAAACAAACACGTCTTTTACTGAAAATGGAATGGATAATAGTTCGAAAGAAGATCTCAATCATTTCATTTTAATAGGGCTTTTATTATGTTAATCCTAGAAAAAACTTAATAATGTTTATCAGAATAGCTGCGGAGATATTCTTAAATACCTTAACGGTAAAGATCTGAGGGAAGATAGAACGAAAACATTTCCTCGCAAGATTAGGTATCAACATGTAATTAATGACACCTTTGAAGAGGATCTCTCAAGCTAAAAATATTATGAGTTCTGGCTAACATTATGGACAAGAAGTTGGATTATTTGATTCTGAAAGATCTGGAGAAAGTCATAAGAGTCTCGAACAATTTGAGAAAGGGAAGACAAAGATGCAGTTTGGCATTTGATTGTACAAGAAAATACAATTTCTACACTGTTCACATCACATCCATAAGCATTGAGATTTGTTAGCCCTGCGACTGTACCCATTCTCGGTTTCAAGTAGTAATTTTTATCAACGATTGATCAAGTGGTGGAAATAAGAGAACAGAAAGGGGAAAAAAAAAAAAACAGTTTGCTAGCCACAACATCTGGTGAGTAATTACCACGCATGTATCCACAACATATGCTAGAAAGAATATGCAAGGTTCACGAGAGCAAATTTGGAAGGAAAATATAAGCTCTGATTGTAAACTTCACTAACATCATAATAAAGTCTGCAATGACATTAAATGTCATTCAGAACTTAAACAGTAGATTCATTTTGTTTAACATTTAAAGACAGAATCTTAAAGCAAAATGAAGAATTAATAAGGCGACAATCAAAAGATTTGGTAAATATATATCCTGTTCACTAATTCAAGAAGCATACAAATGATATTAAAAAATCCTTGCCGTAGATCCATTTTGCTTACCCACTTTAAGACGCAATGAAATGGAGAACAAAAACTTATAAAGGTGACAACCCATGGATTCAATAAATATGTACTTCATTCAGCAGTTCAAGGAGCCAAAAACAAATAAAAAAAGTTGCAGTACTGGATTGTCTAAGAAGTTTGCAGTGGAGATAGTATTGAACTTTCCCGAATTTGACTATTTCAAAAGCTAAGTGGATCTTAATGAATATGCAATAAAAGAATTGTGTATTTGTGCAATTTTCAGCCATCTTACTCAATTTTTGTGCAATGGAAGCAGCCTCAGCGACACGACTGTCATCAGAGAACAAAGCCGAAAGTTCCATTAGGTCGCCCGGACTACTATTGAATTCCATCAAGTACTGAGCAACGAGAATCAATGAAATAGTTTTGACAAATCATCATCTGAATGGATTAAAACGACCTTCATATGCCTATTTATCAAAATTTACCTTTATGAGGTCTATCGTTTGACTCGCAGTTTCCCGTTGAGCATCTGCACTCTGACAAATAAATGTGAAATAAATGAAAATATGTGATCGTGTATCATCCAATTTCATATGTATTGAACGTAATCTGGCAAACAAGAGTCAGCGATTAAGTGTTAGATGGTTTTATGTACAATTAACATTTTTATAATTATAAGCATCATATGAGATTAAAACATAGTGAAAAGAAAAGACAAGACAAAGCAAAAAAAAAAAAGTCAGATGAGAGAGTCTTATTGTCAAATTTACAGTTTGCATACAACATGCAATTTCCTGAAGGCTTCTGAGGATTTGTTACATTAACCTTTCATAAGATTTTAAGTTTTTGATTCTGCACCGGTCTTAAGATGAACAAACTTCAGTCATTTAGATTTGTTTGAAAGGTTAAAGGGGCTTGGAAATAGAGGGTTTTCTGGGATACAGTTTCCAGGTTGGTATTGTGGTAGTGTGTATTAACATTTCACAAGATTTTGTTTAGGAATCGGGATCAAGATTGGGCAGCTTTATTGGGAATTGGCCTTTGAAATGATCAGGTTTTCCTTTGGAACTAATCCTATGTCCATAGACTTGGTCCCATGTAATTAAGAGGGTCTTGAGAAAAGGTTAGATGGTGTCGATCAGTATTGTCAATAATTCCTACATGTAATCAGATTGTATATGGTTGATTGTATGATATATGTTTCCTTCCTTAGTTGGGAATTAATATAGAAATATAATAGTATAGTTTTCCTATACAAAATAGGATTAGGGGTTGGTGTCTCTTGTACAGATATCTCAATGATGTGGATAAATAATATAGAATTCAACCTAATTAATTCTCAATTTAGTAACCTTTAAGGTTTCAGAAATCATGTTTTCTTTAATTTTAATTAGGGTTCAAAATTGCAAACCTTAGAGCAATTTCGAAAATTGCAAGACCGATTAGCTGACAGGAAGGATGGGGACTGTCTTGAAATTTTTCAAACAGTCCTTATGCCGACATTAGCAGTAGCGCCAGTAAGGCTGACAAATACAAAGAGTGAAGGAGAGCGTCCTAAGAGTGTACTCTATTCGTGCAAAAGAAGGATGGAGCTAACTGCCATGTGTGCTCTAAGAGTTTGGAGATGCATATTGCTGGACAAAAGAAGAAAGGTTGTATCACAGGATGGAAGCCTACGCCAGCAGAGAGCTGGATTATGATGAAAGGAAGGCCGAAGATGCGTAGATCAAGTCTTGGCTCATCAATTCCATGACTGACAATCTGATGTCACATATTGTTTAATGTGGAACAACTACAGAGATTTAGGATGCAGTGAAAAGGGTCTATCTAGATGTTTCTGACTCTTCATAGCTATACGATCCACAAAGAAATCATTCCAATTGCATCAAGGTGGCTTGCCTCTTGCTGGTTACCAAAATGAACAGAAATCCAGATTTATGGAACTCATTAACGGAGACCCAAGGATATGACATGCATGTGATCAAGTTAGTAGTCATGTTCTGGCTACTTCTCCTCTTTAAGTACGAAATAGGCCTCCTCACTAGTCCATCACGAGGTGCATAGGCAAGCTACTATGGGGAAAGAGATCCGCTTCTAGGGCCTCAGCTTTGGTTATCCAGAAGAATAACTCTCAGACAGTTCCTTCAACATCTTCTAATAATACTCTCAAAGGTGTTGCAGTCAAGCCCTATCAGATTCTGATAATACTATCGAGTCCTCCCCAGATTCTGACACTTCCCTTGATGATACTACCGTGTCATCGAATGACTCTTCCACAATAATTAATGAGGTAAATGTTTCCCCTTTTATTTCTCAACTCCAGGTTCTAACTATGCAGCTTCAGAATCTGCTGTCCTGGATCCACAGGGTAGGAAATACCCTCTTCATGAATGTAAAAACCTCGACAGTTCGAGTTTCTCAAAATCTTCCACTAATATTGTCTATCTCATCTATGATTATACCCTTCAGTTTTCTTCTGTATCTATTCTAATCATTTCACGAATCCCTTGAAGGTTCTAAATGGAGAGAAAGGTATAATGACGTGCAAACAGCAGTATCAGGCATTTGGGTAATAAATTTTTAGAAGGTTATAACAAGCTCCTTTTGAGTGCCAGGAAAAGACAATCCATCTGATAGCTATGGACGGCAACATCTAAGGGATTCAATAGTGTCCTTTTTCGCTATTTTTTTCAATTGGAAAGAAGTGCCTCCTTGAGTTTTAGCTTAGTGGGGACACAATATCTCGTTCACCATAAATTGTAAACACAATTCTTTGAATAATAAATTTCACTTCTAACAATAACAAGAACAACAAAACAATCAGATAAATTAAGCATTAGACAAATTTTACCTGCAGATGATCTCCTATTTTAGCAGCAGTCTGGCCAACACTTGATATACGAGAATCCAGCCTTGCAAAACTAGTAAACAAGCCATCGACACCTTTTTCCAGCTGCCCAATAAAGCGCACAAAACATAAATGTTTACGAGGTTGCACTTCTAACTATATCCCACATTTAGATATATCAAGAAACTTTCACAGCCCCATTATCTGCTATGCTAATAATCAAATTAGTGGAAACTAGCTTCCAATGATATATAGTTTTCAACTCTATAATTGTAATTTAGTTGGTGATTTTCTATTTACTTCTTCATTTTCATGTGAGGCAAAAAAGCATCTAAGAGGGCGTTTTACAATGCCCTGTTTAGCAGATATTTTTATTATCCGACCAAGGTGTTAACAGAGAGTCTTCTTGTGCATAATTATTAAGTGGAAAAATAGTTCTTAGTAACTATAATTTCATAATTTTTTTCGATGGATCCAAATTATGTGGTATGTATAGATCTAGAGGTAACAAGCAAAGATATGTGTGGATCCGCTGGCTTTGTAGTGATGTTTAATTTTCAGATGGATAAATGCTTCACAATGAAGTTCTGGAATATTTGGTAAGCAAGTGCAGAAGAAACATATTTTTGTACATAAAAAACCAATACCTACATTGTGTGCACAAACTAACCTCGGTAAGTGTCTTCCGGTGCTTAGAGTCCTGGGCAGCAACTTCCTTTTTGAGATTGTAGAGTTTCCCATCAATCTTTGATCAAGTATCAACAAGATTAGGAAGTGTTAACGTATAAAATATGTATTTAAAAAGGTTCATGACAACGTCCGATTAAACACCTCTTTTCGGAGATCAATCAACTGTGTAGACGAATTCTTAAACAAAGATAGTAGAGCATCTACTTCAGGAAATAATGGACTTGATAGCCCTTGTGCTGACTTTCCCGTGTCAGATGGAGTTCGTAAATGACCATTTGGCATAACATCATTTCCACCATGTCCTTCTGAGGCGTCAATTTCTTCTTCTAAATGAGAAGGCAGCAACTCGTTTACTAAATTTCCGAACAAGGCATCAAATGAAAAGTCGCCCTGCAGGATCCAAATTGCCATGATGGTTAGCTACAGAAGGAAGACTTAATTTCATACTTATGCATTATGATTGTGGAGGAATCACCTTGAAGTCCTCTATGTCCAAAACAAGTGGATAGGAGTCAGTTGATGCCAATTTAGACGCCGGTTTAGAAAATCTATTGGTCTTCCTTCCACCTTTATTCTCATTCATCTAATTCATAACCAACATAAAAGAAACCAAAAAAGCAACAAGCTTTGCAATAGTAACTAACACTTGAAGACCAGTCATTATTAATTTAATCAAGTTGAAAAACATCGCCAAGAAAACAGAGCTTACAAAACATCGACTATGAACAGACAGTCGAGCATTAAATTATATGCAGCATTAAAAATGGAAAGTGATGTGGATTTTCATATTGTGGTTTCTATTTGTTTATGTCCATGGGAAGTCCAAGGGAAACTCTAATTTCAGTGCATCTCATATTCACATCACAGTAATGACAAAATATCGTTGACAATATCGTTGACCCACAGTCAGTATTCCACAACTGTCCAATCCACAAAAAAGTTTAATTTGGATGTTAGGCTTTAAATCTAAACAGAGAAAGTTAATGTCAAATTCCAAAAGGATGGATATTACCCGATGACCAAAAAGGAAGATTTTAATTTATAGGAATATAATAAAAAGTAAAACTTTTCCATCCCGTATAATGTTGGACGAAAAAGATTGATTTGTGTATAGATTTTATAATTAACAAAACAAAATAATAAATAGAATGAAACAATAAAATAATAAAGAGAAATATATTAGAGTTCAACAAGCAAGTATTAAGAAATCTTGTCAAGTACTTTGTCCTAAAGTTGTGTGACCTCCCCTTTATACGGATATTTTCAACACTACATTGTTCTAAGATAAAACCCTTTTATAGCTCACAATCGGTTTTTCTTCTATAGAAACAACCACATAGAGATAAAGAAATGACTTTATCAAGTTGCCAAAACTACAGAAACATAGTACGAAAATGTAAAGTTAGTATTTTATCAAGTTATGTTTTCAAGTTATATCCAACAATGAAATATCCCCCTTTTATAGTATAAAAGTTCAACCCCCACATTTTTTAATATTCAATAATTTAAATGTAAGTTACATTATAAAATTATGGTTTTTAATTTTTATTAAATCTGAGATTAAAATCAAAACTGAAAATTAAAAAGGTTTTAATTTTGAAAATTTAAAACTTCTATTGTTATGTTACAACGATCCCAACACCCTAACATGTGGCAAGATCCTCCTGAAATTCTCTTTAGCACCTAAACCGGATCAAAATACCTAACCAAATCAACTTTTTAACTAATCATCCCTTCTTTCAAGGCATAAACTGAATTGCAGCTGTAGCTTGTAATTATTCAGAGCTAAAAATGCCAATCATACAAGTGGATAAACAAACAGTAAAGTGAAACTGGATGGAAAACAAAATCTACATATAACTAAATTCAAATGAGAATTAAGTAAAGTGTCATATTAGATTACAAGTTAACAAATTAATGGCCAATAAAATTGTGCGGGTGAATTATAAACACTAATAACAGAACTCTCTATCTCCGATCTCGTCAAGTGCTCGTGCATTCATAAAACCAAAAATATGTGCATTTCCATATGTGTAACACGTATAAAAAGCTATACACAAAAAGCGAAAATGTTACCTTTTTATTAATTGAACGAGAATGAGATAGCGATCTGTAGCCAAAAAAAAAGCTTCGATTTATGTTTTCTGAAAAAGTAAATAAATAAATATTCCCCTTTCTGTTATATTTCGTTGAGCGAGCGAGGAAGAGGATTGTCTCTGCGAAGTCTACAAGAAGAAATATAGCTGATTGATTGTAGTGACGATTTTCTCCCGCATTTAACAACGAATTTATATTTAACCCCATATTCATTTAGCTTCCACGAAAATAAAATAAATTTTAGATAATTCAATTGTGTAGAACTTAGTTTACATAAAAAAAAATTATCAATTAAATGCAAGTGATTGATTTAATTTTCAATTTATAAAATATTATAGTTGTCCATTTTTTATAAGTGGATAAATGAGAAAGAGGAGTAGAGAGTAAATTCCCTGAGAAATAAAATATTACTCTCCCCAAATATAATATTTCATTGATTTTAAGGAAAATATGATTACGTGATTAAAAATAAGGAAATATTTTTCATGGAAAAAAATGTTATAGGAATTTGGGTGAAAAAAATATATTTTTCATGAAAAAAATATTGACAATCAAATGCACAATTAAAGTCGCTCATTAATTTAATGAATGGATATACGTGGCAATGCAGTCCTAGGATCAAGCATTACAAGTGAAAAGTGCTACATGCACAACAATTTGTACAGTCCTCTAACCTATAAAGGGTGGGAGCTCGTGATTAAAATAATTGTAGATCCCACACATGTGAGAGGGCCTTCAAGTGCTGTACAAGTATCTTTGTTGTTATAAGCATGTGCGTGTCAATATATATGCATTTTTAAAATGTTAATGTTATTTTAAGTATTCTAAGCTAAGAGAAATGATCTAATGAGTATCGATGCTTAACTTATGTCAAGAAACAATGATGTAGAACACAAATTAATTGGTGAATATTTTTTAAAATTTTAAAAATTGAACTTTATACATATTTTTCAAATTTACAAAATTGTTTTCGTTGGGCCCTTTTATTTCAATTCGATAATTTCTATTACCTTTTGTAAATTGTAAGATATCGTTATCAACCCTACTCTCATCATCACAATCATCAACCATTCAAGATTATACATTACTTGCATCACTTGTTAGTAAAACTAAACAAAGACTGAAGAAAAATTAGGCTCGAGTTCGATGTAGATAATTTGCAACTCTATGAAAATTTTATTTTGAATGTAAATTTTTATATATAATTCATGGACTTTGGTGGTTTTGGGCTAATTTGATGTTTGTTGGGTTCTCTTTTTTTTTCTTTTTTTTTTTTAAATTATTCCCAACCTTAGTTTTAAGCTATCAAATTCAAAATTAAGATTTAAAGGTTTTCTTTTCAAAAATCAGATATACAAACCATGAAAATCACTTCTACTCTCTTCATCTTCTCTCCTCACTCTCTCTACAAACTCACCATCAATGCAACGATGCAGCCTCACACCGTCGTCCTGAGACAGTACGGCATTGCACAGTGTAGCCTAGTGAGGCAACATTGTGAGATACCATCTTTACAAGACGGCACGGCTTCATACCACCTCCCATTTGTGCCAATTACATCGCTTTCTTCCCTCGAAGCGAAATCGCAGCCGCACGCAAATCTCCCATCATTTGTCGGTGGCTTGAGGGCCACCGCTTAGAATTAATGCAGAAGTGGCTAAGCCATCGTGCTTGTAGTGAGTGTAGCCTTGGGAGGCAACATTGTGAGATACCATCTTTACAAGACGGCACGGCTTCATACCACCTCCCATTTTTGCCAATTACATCGCTTTCTTCCCTCGAAGCGAAATCTCAGCCGCACGCAAATCTCCCATCATTTGTCGGTGGCTTGAGGGCCACCGCTTAGAATTAATGCAGAAGTGGCTAAGCCATCGTGCTTGTAGTGGCGCTGTGCTGCCATGCTTTTGAAATGACTTTTCGGATGGTTTTTAAAGGTGAAGATTTGGTTGGTTTTTGTTTGTTGGTAGTGGATCAAAAGCTACTGATGGTGAATCCAAAGTTGGTGGGGGCAGATTTGGCGATACATCTGGAGGCTGCGGCGAAAGTGGTGGTCTAACACTGGTTGTGGTTATGGTGGATTGGGGGGAGGATGTGGTGGTGGTGGTTGTTGTTCTGGTGTCAACAATTTTGGTGGCAATGTGGCCGGTGATGGTGGTGAGGTAATGGTTACAAGTGTTGGTGGTTGTCATAAATTAGTTGGTTGGTTGTGACCAATAGATTGGTTAATGTGTGACCCAATAAACAATATGTGACAGTGACAAAGATAAATTGTGACCAAGAAATAATGTATAACCTAAAAAAATTTTAATTTGTAACTGTCTAATAAGTTGTAAGTTATAATATTTGTGATTTGTGATCGATTGACAAATTGTGACCTATAAATTTTTTTAATTTTGGCCGTAAAATATTATGTGACATAAAGTTTCGATTTTTTGACCAACAAATAATACGTGATTAACTAAATCGTTAATTTGTGATTAAATTGTATAGATTCGTGACATTAATATGCTTAATTAATAAAATGTATAATCAATTAATTAAATCATATATAAATTTTAATAAATATCAAATTTTTGAAATTTGAAATTTTTGTTCTTAGTTTTAAATTGGGTGATACTTAATCTCTTAGTTATAAATTTTCCTCTTTTTTAAGTTATAAAAATGGACTAAATTTTGTTGGGCTAATTTGAACATAATTTTTAATAGAATGCATGGTCATTCTAGCGTCCAATCATGCATGTATGGTCATAAAATGGGCTAACCACATAATCATGCCCATATTCCATACTCGGAGCGTTTCGAAAATGCATCGAGCAAGTATATGCATGCATTTAAAACATTGATTTAATTACAAAAATGTAGACTTTTTAATTAAATAATTTAAGATTCTTATAAAAATTTATTAAAAAGTTGAATTTTAGCAAAATCAAATAAGTGCTTATTTTTTCTATTCCATTTTATAAAATAAACCTTTTCTAAAATAATTTTGATTCTACGAAAGGAATTAATTTTCATTAGTTGTATTTAGCCATGATTGAATCTGATTTTCAAAATTTATTTTAAATTTTACATTCTCTAAAAAAATTAATTTTACCCTTACATTAAAAATAAATAAATCAATCAATCAAGTGTCCCAACCCCCCCCCCCCACCCAAAAAT